TGAATTTGTTTTTCTATGAGTTGTTTTTGGAAATCTCACAGTACTTTGAAATCTTCAATTGGCAAACAGTTTCTTTGTTAACAAAAGTTGTGCTAGGAAAAAAGTCTCATTCAATTTACAAATGGAGCATCTGTGATGTTTCACAAGAGATCCGGCTTTCCTAGTTGTTTTAAGAAAGAAGCAGAATGTCCTGGCAAACCTGACCTATTTAACTTATCCATTTATCTGTACTTTCTCCTTCAACCCACTAAAATAAAGAAGTAAACTAAATAAGGAATAAAGTGGCCCTGACACACAGGAGGGTGAAAGGAATGGAAAAGAAGACTGTGACAGATGAATGATGACAACATGCTTTAGAAAGCTTGAAAGTGAATGCACTCGGGAAAACTGACTTAACAGGCAGAGATAGCTGAATGTACGCCAAAGTGAGGAACTCAATAGGAAGACATATTACCCTCAAACTTTTAGAAATTTGTGGCAGCGAGGACTTCAGAAAGTAGGGACTAGACAAGAGATCAAAGAAAAAGAATCAACTTAAACTTTGTGGGAACATCAGCGAGCTTTCTACTCCTAATTTTCCTCATTTACTATATCCTTTAGATGAGGGGCTGCCTTTTTGCCTTCTGACCTGAGCAGAAAGCAAGACAGAAAACCTCAGAGAGCCTGTGCCAAGAACCTCACAAGTAGGGACTACAAGCACAGCTGGGTCTGTCATGCATCTTACCAAGAAAATAAGGATTACAAGGGACACACTAAACGGTGATACCCCTGTTCTCCCTTAAAATGCTGAAAACCAGACCGAGGCTTTTACTGACCAGTAGTCAGAAGAATATGCCTCTGGAGAAATTAACTTGCCCAACAGAAAAAAAATACAGATATCGACATTTAGGGAACCTCCAATGCAAAATCTGGGTGGTCATATAATCACTTTACAGATAAGACTATTTATTACAGAATGAACCATCCACTAGTAATTGAGCTCCAAATCGTTTTTAGTGCTTTGTTCTTATATATAAACAGACATTTGAGGACATCCTCTAATATTAACAAGAATAAAAAAGAAGCAGATGTCAGAAGAAACATGCAAAGAAAATAAAGATAAAAGAGGAAAATTAAAGAAACAAAAAGAGATGAATGATTTAAGGGGAAGTGCAGGGAGCAGAAGAGACCATAAAAAACATCTCTGGAGAGATGAGACAACTGGATACATGAAATAAGATACTTCCAGGAAAGGAAAACGAGTCACTCAGAGCATAAGAACAAATAGTATCCCTAACTGGTTGGCTCAGTGGACAGAGCGTCGGCTTGCTGACTGAAGGGTCCCAGGTTCAATTCCAGTCAAGGCCATGTACCTTGGTTGTAGGCACATCCCCAGTGGGAGGTGTGCAGGGAGCCGCTGATCGATGTTTCTCTCTCATCGATGTTTCTAACTCCCTATCCCTCTCCCTTCCTCTCTGTAAAAAATCAATAAAATATATATTTTTAAAAAGAACAAATACTAATCCAGAGTGAGTGTGAGTGTGTGTGGCAGGGGCGGATAGTAGAATACTTGGAATGATGAAGTGAAGGAGTCTCCCAAGAAGTAGAAGCAAGATACCAAGAAATAGGAAACAGAGAAATTATTTGAAAAGCAGAACATCAATTCAAGTCCAATATATGACTAGCGGATGCTGGCTGAGGACACGAAAGTCCTGGGTCGGAGACAAAGGAATGTATTACTCACTGCCAACAAGCAACACAAGCATCCCCATATTTGCCTTACTTGTCCCTTGTCCTCAAGTCTCATTGGAGCCGTGCAGCAGGCCCAGATTGATTTAACACACACCATGGGCCTGTCACAGCTCTGAAACACGGAGTTTGGGGAATGCACGGCTTTTATAGCAAAATACAAGCCAGCCTTCTCTTTCTCCTGGGGAACAACATGATCAATCCCTCAAAATTAGCAGCTGCATTGATAACCCTGAGAAATGACAAAGGTAAAAGAATAATCAAGGCCTTGCGGTCTTGGTACACCTAGCAAGATGTCTCCCAACCCAGATCAAGCCTCTGCAATTTACTAGCTGTGATTTAGGGCAAGTCTCTTTACTTGAGAAAAATAAATTTTTGTTTATAATTTAGAAAGCAGCTTTATTGAATTGTAATAAACTACAAATATTTAAAGTATGCAATTTGATAAGTTTAAACCTGTGTAGTATACTTTCATGAAATCATCAGCACAATCAAGAGAGTGGAGGTATGTATCACTCTCAAAAGTTCATGACCCTTACAATCCTTGCCCCTCAAACTCTGTCCTACTCCCCCATCTCAGAGCCACTACAGATCTGCTTTTTGTCACTGTAGATTAGTTTGTGTGCCTGAAATAATATATGTAAAGCACCCAGCATACTACCTAGCATATAATAGGCACTGAGTTGTTAATTTTATATTTCTAAAAAGAAAACAAAAAACTAAACTGAACAAAAAAAAAATAAACCACAAAAAAAGGCTTAAATTCTGATATTTTCCAGAATCCTCAAATTAGCCCTATAAGGACTCTTGCCATTGTCCTTATAACACTAAATTTAGAAATATTAGAAACTCATAAAAATACTACTTATTTTCATAAGGAGCATAAAATGGAGTGACAAAGCATTTTTTTAATACGTCAATTAATGGTTGAGATAGACAGCATACGCTAGGGCAGTGCTTGCTCAAAAAAATGGGTAATATGTCAATTTTAATGAGGTCAATTGTCACAGATTATAATCATCCTTTTAACATTTCTACTTCTTCACTAAGCCAAGACTTCGCCATATCCTATTTATGTGTCTTGTCCCAGAAAGAGAACTCAGTGTCCTCTCTCAACACAAAGAAGATCCTCATTTCCAAAACAGTAGAATGTGACTAATTATCTTTTGATTTCGTTTTCTTTTGATGTGATCAGGACAAATCACAATTTACTTGTAATGTTTTGATGAAGAAATTCAATATCACACCCACAACATTGACACGTATTTTTTCAGTCATATGCTGTTAAAGAAGCAATTGTGTCCTGTCATAAACAAAACGAGTGTCAATAAATAAATGTTTTTCAGGATGTGATTTATGACGAGTTCTAGTGTTTTTCTTTCCCAAATAATTCTTTTCAAGCACTTTTTTAAAAAAAGAATTATGTAATGTCTCTCATTTTATGCCAGAAAAATAGCCAGGATATGAATTTGACATCACATGCATGGTGAGAGCCTGGAAAAGGTTCTCAGAATGCTATTTATTTCCATACAAAAGGTCAGAGTTCATTCTGCAAGAGCTGGCTGGCCAGTGGGCCTTGGATGTCTGGAAAATTAATGTGCATACACTCAACACGGACTTGTGCACACACCTCTAACAAACCCTTTCTCAAGACAGAGAACATCATGTCCAACTGATTTTACAACTGCCTTTTTAAGGGAGAATTTTGCAAATCTACAAAAATCATGCTTACAGACTCACTCAACCTAGCTGAGCCAGGAGAAAATTGCTTTTGAATTGTGAACTCTATGAATTATGTTCATGTGTTATGGACTCTGACTTGAGTGAACTGTCAAATGACCCTCCCGGGAATCTTAAACATTTAGCAGTTTCACATGTCTGTTCATTTATGTCTCTCAAACTATGTTCATTTGGATCTCACCAAGAGTCTTCACTGTAGAACACACACCATTACAACTTTAATGCATGGTCTGTATCGTAATGTTATTTTGAAGAATGTGGTTCCATTCACTAGAGCTGGTAATTACTTTTGTAAAAACTTATATTTTTATATAAGCTTTATGATTTAATCCAGTCATTTTCTGCCCTTCCTGTATAATTTGGTGGAGGGGGAGATAGGGAAGGCTGAGAGTGGTAGGATGTACTAATAACCCTTAATAACTAATATTTATTGAGTGTTTGCTTCGTGTAAGGACTTATCAAAGTTCTTTACATGTATTACTAACATATTTATCACATCTCTCCAGAGCAGATGCTGTCATTTCTTTATGTTAGAGAGGTGAAAACTTAACCTTTATGGGGTGAAGTAATCTGACTATGGTCATAAAGTTTAAGTAAACAACTCCGCTTAGGGCGCTCATCAATATAACAAATTTCACTGGGAATACTTGCAATGACAGGAGCTGGCCAGAGAGATCTCAGAAAACACTTGCTTTGAATAAACTTGGGTTTGATTAGACCTGGGCGTATTTTTCTCATGTCCAGAAACTACAAAGTCTTGGTAATCCCTGAAGATATCTTGGTAATAAACTTTTTTAATAAAAAAAATAATAAATTCAAAAGTGATGAATGGTTTGGGATGCCTACATCCAAATACTTTCTGGAAGAGGGAAAGTGCTGGTGTACACCATCCAAGTCACTTGGCGTGAAGCCAAATCAGAATTTTGTTTGGTGAGCATGGAAAGATGTCACACCTATTCTAGAGGGCTGTTACTTGACCCTGATAAGACCTGGTGATATGCCCTAGTCCCACAATGGGAAACCCCACTCTATCACCTAGAATTGTCAAGTTCTAGGTAGGACTTGACAATTCTAGGGAGTAGATTCAGAGTTTATTCCCCTGCTGAATACTGCTGGATGTTCGTGACAACTTCTTTCATGCAGTTACAAAGATGACAGGGAGTGGTCACACAGGATTGCTTCTCTGCGCTCCAACTTACCACGTTTAGAACTCCAATTCCCAGGGTATACTTGCCTCCTCAAATATGCTCCATGTGATTTGGGGGAAGTGTATTCTTTGGCATTTGGTGTTCATTTTATTGATCTCACTCTCAGATTTCTTTTTTGAAGGTCTCTTCTGGAAATAAAGACTTCTTTTAGATGTCTATAGCCATCTCTAAAGGGAAAAAAAGGATAGATAAATATATGTGATTGGATGTTTAAATATACAGCTCTTCTCCCTTCTCCCAAAATCAGATTTATATATAAAGGTATAGCTGTTTCAGGACAAAGAACAGCCAACTTGGAACAAATTTCATTTGAATAAACATTAGTCACTACCGAGAGCAACTTTGCTTTCCAATTGTACCCTGAACAATATAACATTCATAGGATGTCATAATTTTTTTTAAGAATAATTGCTTTGAATTTCTTCAGATTGACATTAACACTTTCCTGTCCAATGGATCTCAAGAATTTTCCGATGGATGTGCAAACGTGCATAATGCAACTGGAGAGTTGTAAGTACAAACAACTTACTTTTTCTGAATTCTTTAAAAAATATAGTAGATATAAAAGGTTTCTAATGTATTCTATAGATAATTTATTCTGTAATTGTTGTTGTCAGATATTTACTAAATAAGCATGGTATCGCTTACCCGGTATTGAGAGTCATGATGTCTATCAACACGTGCACTAAATGCTATGATAAAGAAAGACATTGGGGACCTAGGAATAATAGTTTTTAAGCTTGAAAAGCAGTTTTATGTCTCTGTACACATTATCAAAGGTAAAAGGATAATAATCATTAAGACCAAATGATCACTTGTTATTGATTACCTGGTATAGACCAAATAGTTTGCATATGTTATTTCCCATACAACGAAGATATTGTTATTGTCGTTTCCAGATGTGAAATGGTCCTTCTGAGCAATTGAGTTTTGTGCTCCAGTTCATGAAAGTTGTCACAAAAGACCATCTGGGTCCAAAGTCTATGCTACTCTGAACTATTATGCTGCTCCTCAGCTAATATTTATTCAGAGTATACTCTGCAGGGTTTGTTATATATGTCATCTTAGGGGAAAAGAAATTTTTCACACTTTATCATAGATTCAGCCAAGGTAACAGACATTTTTAAAAAAAATTTCTTCTTTCAAAGTGGATCCAAATACATCACTGATTAATGTCAACACATAAAAACTTCACGTCCTTCTGTTTCTGTGAACTTATCTATATATAGTCAACCTTAAATTAATTGGTATGCAGGTTTAATTTTAATGCCATACAAAAAATATTATTCAATATTTTTTTCTTAAGGCACTATGTTATATCTTTTTTTAAAGTTTCGTTTTGATATATTCCTTGAGGAAAATTTAAAGGTGGATCTTTGGGTTTGCAGGCCTGAGGCAAGGTTTGTAGTGTGGGGGAGCTGTCACTAGATGGCGTGCCTACTTCATGGGGGAATGAGGTCACCCTCTAAGTTGGGTTCTCTTTTTTTTAATATATACATTTATTGTTGACAATATTACAGATGTCTCCCTCTTTCTCCCCCTTTACTCCCTTCCACCCAGCCCCTACTCACCCACCCCGCCAGGTCTTCACTACCCTATTGTCCATGTCCATGGGCTATGCATATAAGTATATAAGTTCTTTGGTTTATCTCTCCTTGCCCCCCCCACCTGACCCCCCCCACATCGAGGTATGTTAGTTCCATGCCTCCATGCTTTGGGTCTTATTTTGTTGGTCAATTCATTTTGTTCATTAGATTCCACAAATAAGTGAGATCATCTAATACTTATCTTTCTCAGATAGGCTTATTTCACTTAGCATAATAGTCTCCAGGTCTACCCATGCTGTTGGGTTCTCTTAACATAAGGAAGTAAAAATAGCTATTTCTCTGATAATAATGCATTTCTTGTTAAATTTTAATGCATTAATTTTATAAGTAGTTCTTAAATATTAAACATACTCATGGATAAAGTACTAAGTTAGATTAAAATAAAATAACCAAGTTTTAGTTGGGGGAGCTATTAGCAATAAAAATGGCGAAGAACAACAAAAGATTCCCAGCAATGTGGATTTTTTTATCTATATTATAAAGGCATTTTGAGGATAGGCTCATTCTGTATCTTGGTTGCAAAATTAGGTGTATGGGAAGATACTGAGATAAAAATCACATGCAAAATAGTCTAAGGCAAACCGGTGCCCTAATTACTAAACCAGAGATGCTGGATGTTACCCAATAGGCAGTGAGGAGCAGGCCAAGATTCAGGAGCAAGAGCATGATTTGGTCCATATTATGCTCTTAAATATTTGTTCAGCCAAATGAACCAAGGTTACTTAAGAAGATTTCATATGGCAGTTTTATTTTTTATTTTTTTTAGGAAACTCCATACTGTTTTCCATAGTGGCTGCACCAATCCGCATGCCCACCAACAGTGCACAAGCATTCTCTTTCCTCTACATCCTTGCCAATACTTGTTTTTGATTTATTGATAATAGCCATTCTGACAGGTCTGAAGTGATATTTTATTGTGGTTTTAATTTGCATCTCTCTGATGATTAGTGATGTTGAGGAGCAATTCCACTTCTGGTTATATATTCTAAGAAACCCGAACCGCTAATTTGAAAGAATGTATGCATTCCTATACTCATCGCAGTTATTTATAACAGCTGAGATATGGAAGCGGTTTCTAATGCCCATCAGTAGATGAGTAGATAAAAAAGTGGAGGTACATGTATACAATGGAATACTACTTGGAAAAAAAGAACAAAATCTTTACCATTTGCAACAATGCAGATGGGCCTAGAGGGTATTTTGCTAAGTGAAATACACCAGTCAGAGAAAGACAAATATCATATGTTTCCACTTATATGTGGAATTTAAAGACCAAAACAAACAAACAAACAAAATAGAAACAGACTGATAGATACAGAGAACAAACTGACAGTTGCCAGAGGAGAGAGGAGTTGGGAAGTTGGGTGAAAAAGGTGAAGATATTAATACGTACAAATTGGTAGTTACAAAATAATTATGGGGATATAAAGTACAGCATAGAAAATATAGTCAATAATATTATAATAACTGTGAATGATGCCAGATGGGTACTGGAAATATCAGGAGGAATATTTTAAAAAGTATATGATTTTCTAACCATTATGTTGTATACCTGAAACTACTATAAAATAATATTAAATGTAAACTGTAACTACAAATGTTTTAAAAAATAAAAAGTTTCATAATACTCCAACCAAAAGTAATTAAAATAGTGTCAAAGCAGAATGATGTAGAAGGTAGAAACATTAGAGGTTGATACTATAGGGGAGGCAAAATTTTATCTTTCCCTCTTAAACGTTTTTGTCTGGGCCTAAAAATTAAACAGATAAGACAGATTAACAGGAGAAAAGGTTACAAATTTATTTAATATAAGTTTTATGTAACATGGGATCCCTCATAAATAAATAAAGACTCAAAGAAGTGGCAAAACCTAATGCTTTCATACTAGGTTGAACAAAGAGAGGCAATTGTTATTAGTTATTTAGTTATTTAGTTATTTAGTTATTGAAACAATAGTAAACTGTGTGGGGAGGCTAATGGCAGATAAGAGTTATTTTAACAAGGTCTGTATGTACACAGTTCTATTGACTTTGATTCCTGTTGAAAAATGTCTTTTTTCTTGGTCCAAAGAGCACATCTTTTCCATGGGAGTTTTTAGCTCCTGTTTTCAGGAAGAAAGGGGGAGATTAGAATGCCTTCCTTGCACCTGCTATTTCTCAAGTGCCTTTAATCTCAAATACCCCTTATGCTAGGGTGGCATATTCTGGGGTGGCATATTTTGCCAGCCTTCATTCGCTCCCATACAAAGTTGATGTAAAGGTTCTGGGCTCCGATGAGTCAGAGGTAAAGCTCTTAGATAAGTAGAATCATATTAAAACTATTGACAAAGAAAGAAAACGTAGGATGAAGAAGTAAATGCTGAAGGGAATATTGATAAATCTAAATCTTAATATATTTGAGGTTTGGGAAACTTAGGTATAAAGCCAAAGGGAGGAGTTAGAACTGGGGATACATTACTCAAAGCCATATGGAAAGTCGCTCAAATAAGATGAAATTTCTGAAGGATAAAATATAGAGAGGAAAACAGACACATCAAGAACAGATCCTGTAAGGAATGTCTATATTTAGAGGGTGTTGGAAGGGATTCCAGCTAAAGGGTCATCAAAGATGGCAAATTCAAATCAATAGCATTTCATCTCAAAAGAGAAGGGAATGGGGAGATCTG